GGATGAGATTTATATTTCTATGTAATAATACTGTTATGTCATTTCAGCAGGGCTGGTACAAAGATTTTCACTGACCTAGGCACAATTCCAGTAAACTGTTTTGTTTCCCCAACATTTCACTGTATTCTCTCATCCATTTTGCCTCTTATTCAACTTTCCTCTTCCTTCCTGATCCCAGTCTCCTATTTCAGTATCTTTTATTCCATTCAGACAATGCACTTACTTATTTTCCTCCATCCTCGCCATTTTTTTATTTTTTATTAATAAGCAATATACTTGCATATATAAACATGATGTGGCAGGTGTGTAGAAAAATATCTCAACATGCCTATTAATGAATATGTAAATACATGTACATTTCTTTGTTTATTGTGTCACAGAATTTACATATCAAGTTATAACTGCATTTATTTGAGTGATTTTGACAAGGGCCAAATAGCGATGGGTAGATGACTGGGTCAGAGCATTTCCAAAACGGCCCGTTCCTGGTATGTAGTTGTTAGTATTTACCAAAAATGGTGCAAGGAAGAACAACCGGTGAACCAGTGTCAGGGTCATGGGCACTCAAGGCTCATTGATGCACGTGGGCACATGGCCTGTCTTCTTCCCATAGTACAGCTTTTTCCCTGGTAGATGACACACACACACAATTTTGATCTAAAAGAAATCTTGGCCAGGCAATCCTCTTCCATTTAGCAATCTCCAAATATAATCAATTATCCACAAACGCTGAGGTAATGTATGTCCCCAAGACTTTTCTGTATGGAAGGTGGTGGTCCAACCAAACAAATGATTGCACAAAATAGACTGATAACAGCAACTGGATTTCAAAGTAAAAAGTGAATCTTCTTTATTTTCCCATGTATGGGTATTAAAATTAATTAAGCAACATGCAGCATGCAAAGGTACAAAGTGACATATTACAACAGTGTTTCATACCCTTGTACTTTAACCAAACTCCTCTTGTCCTCTTAGAGCTTGAAAAATGCACCTCACAAGCTGCATAATATGGAACACCTGAAGATATAGGGGTTGTGCCTGAAGTTCACAAATTGCAGCTAGAACCTCAAAATCAAGCAAAGGCCAGAGGCATATCCACTAAATGGCACCAAGACATAAGCAAATCACCCACATATTATTATTATTATTATTATTATTATTATTATTATTGTCGTTTAGGAAGCACCAACAAATTCTGAAGTGCTGTACAATAGTTTGTAACAAGGCAAGTTGGACACACAGGAAAAGAGGGTGTAGAGGACACTGCACAAATGAGATTACATTCTAGAGAGAGTGGGGTAAAATGGCACAAGAAGTAAAGGTGTATTTAATGTATGGGAAAAAGTAGGTTACTAGAATGAAGGGTTAGTTTTTTGGATAACACATTTGCAAGAAGAAAGCAAGGTTACTATTGTGTCAAAAACAAAAAAGGGAGACATGTTTAGAGGGGGATGTTGTAGAATAACCAGCACTGCTATCAACTAACAACTAGGGAAAAATAAATTACAATTCCCTTTCTCTCTTTAATACTTCCTGTATTATCCCTCCCCCTTTTTTTCCATTTCTTTCTTTTCCTTCCTTTCCCTTTCCTTACCTTTTTTCCTTTCTCACTTTTCATCTTCCCAATTTCCTCAATTAGTTGTTTACCCTCTATTTCACTTGTTCCTGGCTACACCTCCACCCACACCCTTAAAATGTAATTGTGCCTGTTGGGAAGTATGATTTTAGTTACTAGTAATTAGGTGGCCCTATTCAGGCTGCAGCATTCTCCAATGCAGGTGGATGGGGCACAGTAGGTGGCAGTTTTGGCCACCACCAATCTCTCATTTAGCTGGGATTAAACCAATTTAGGGGCATTTATGTAACTCCACTCCCATAAAAAGAAAATTGGCAATACTATATAGATGGCAGTGTTAATGAACACAAGGATTTTAAAGATGATTGTGTCCCTGCATATTCCCCACAATTAAATTTTATTGACATCTGCAATATGCAGAAATTGGCAGATCAAAAACGAAAAAATTAAATGGGACATTTAAACTTGCAGACACCTGCAAAAGTGCCTGAAAAAGATCATTTGGGGGATGTGGCAGAAGGTTAAGTGAATAACTGAGGTATTTTCAAGATGTAATATGCTTCAATGTTGTCCAGAAATCCTTCCCCATACTTGTTATTGGCTGGATGAATGTATCTAATGTATGATGCAGGGCTAAGGAAACCTCACATAAATCTTTTTTTTTTTTTTTAACATCAGAGGTTGGTGATCAAAACTATAACTATGCGGCCATTCTATTCTTTCCAGGATATGAACACCAAGATCATCATTTGTTTATTTTCATCTTGATTATTTTGTTCAATTAATCTAAACTTTTGTTAGCTTGATTCTAAGAGTAGAGAAACAAAAACGATAGTTCCAGGTTTATCCATTTTCTGCTTGACTAGATATATGCCACATACATACACATTCATACTACATACATACCAACACTACAAAACATGAAGACAATGTAGCTAGATTTTTGGAGAGTCAATTAAATCTTTGTACTTCTCTGTTTTCTTTCCCTTCCTTATTTTTTTTTTTAATCAGTCAATAACCTAGATGGATTAAGAGATTTTTGCTCTTTTTTCTTTTTTTTTTTTTTATACCATTGGGACCATCTTATTTGGTGTGCTTCCAGATTAAGTTCATTGTTAAACCCATAACCTTTTTTCATTAAAGCTTGATATTCAATTTGTTCACATAATTCTGTAAAATTTATTTTGTCTTTGTTTCTCTATTTTCTTACCAATTGTAATTTAAATGCCATGAAAAGATGAATAGCGATACATCTGATGTCTATAATCAATATCTTTATCTGTGGCAATACCAAGAATAATTCTTGCTGGTTAATTATATTGTACATGACCTTCCCCATCTTTTTTTCTAATTTACCAACAAATATAGTTTCAATGTTTTTTACCTGTGATTTTTTCAAGTTTCCATATCTCCTTTTCCACAAAATTTTTTAATCTTAAGTAATTGTAAAATTCTTTTGACGGCAAATTACATTTTTTAGATATTTCATTAAATTATATCAATTTTTGGTCCTTAATTATTTGATATATATGTGTAATTCCTTTATCTAACCAAATTTTAAATTTTATATAAACTTTCAGGAGTTCCAACACTTCTAAAGGGATATAAAACCTCAACTCATATGATGATAGATATCTCAGTTTTATATTTTTCCACATGAGGCTTAGATCTTTCAAAATTGGATTCTCTAATACAAAATTAACTTCTTTAGACCACAGAATAATTCTCAAGTCCTTTTTATTAAGAGCATAATTTTCTAGATCTAGCCATTGTAATGATTGATTTTTTTTTTAACACCATTTAGCTATATGTGCTAACATTATAGAATCATGGATTATTATTTACATTAGGCAACCCTAGTCCTCCATCTTGCCTGGACCTAGATAATATTTTAAAAGCTACTCTCAGTTTTCTATAATTTCATATAAATTGAGTAAAATGTTTTTGGAAATTCATTCAATATTTTTTTCAATACAGCCAAAGGGATGGATCTCAAAAGAAAAGTTAATTTCGGAAGCATATAATATTTTATTGTGTCAATTCTACCTAACCAAGAATTAAAAAATTTTTGCCACTCATTTAGTTTGTTTTTTAATTTATTTAATAAGCATTTGTAAGTAAATTCAATAATTAGATTCTTTTCAAAAGCAATTTTTATCCCTAAGTGTTCCATAATATTTTCTTTCCAATTAATTTTTAACATTTCTTGAAGAGTATTTTTAATTTCCATCTTTATATTTACAGATAATACTTGGCATTTTTCAATATTTAATTTATAAAGTGATATTCCCGAGTAGCTTTGAATCTCCTTCATAAGTTATTTTAATGAGAGTATTGGATCTTCCAATTAATTTTAGGATATCATCTGCATACAGTGATATTTTGAATTCTACTTCTCCCATTCGAAATCCTTTAATCTTTGGGTTATCCCTGCTTTTTGGGCAAATGGTTCCAGTGAAAAACATATATCATTGGAGCTGGTTCCATTATATATTTTAAACCACAGAGATTCTATTCCCGAGCCAGAGATACAGGCTTGTGGGTCTTTATATAGAGCCCATATTGATTTAATAAATGTGTCCCCCAAAGTTAAAATTTTTAATTTTTAATTTTTATGTATAAATTAAAGGTGATGGTTTGTCTTTATTCCTCACTTCCAATTGAGATAATTGTATATTTAGTTATTGAAGAGGTAAACCTATATATTTTTTCTCATATGAGCCAACTTTAATTATGTGCCCCCTAATTACTGCCTTGAAGCCAGACCAAATGGTCCCTATTGAGAGTTGGGGAGATTCATATTCTTGAAAAAAAAAATTTATAACATTTTGTAGGTTTTCAGAGATATGTTTTTGCTTGAGAAGGGCTTTGTTGAGTCTCCAATCTTATCTAATTTTATATTTTTTTTAATTCAATTTCTAAAAATATAGGCGCCTGATCAGTCCACGTTGGAATTAAGATTTCACATTTTAAGTCTTCATGGAAAAGAGAGGCTCTCGCTAAAAATAAATCTATACGTGAATATAAGTTAAAGGGAATAGAGTAAAACGTATGTTTTTTTTCTGGATTAAAAGTTCTCTTTTTTTGACAGCAAGCATTCACTTTATTCAACTTCCTGTCAATCAACCAAGTCTCAGGGGCAGATAAAACTGATCAACATCTCACTTATTAGGCAATGTGTGCATTAACATTACAGAAAAAGGCTTAACACCCTAATGCCTTACAGGAAGGCACTCAAGTATACTAAAGGCTTAATTATACTGTAAAATAAAAGAAAATCATGCAACTACAAAAATATAGATATATTCTTGATAGTGTTCTATCAGTCAGGCTTGGTGTTACTTCATTATGCAGATTTAGAACATCTTGTAGCCAATCCTTGTTAAACACCAGCATATAGCCAAACAGTTAAAGTCCAATAAAATACCATGCTAATCCTTTGTGAGGTTTTGTTTTCCCTTTCTTCTTCCCTCGTTGAGTTCTCAGCTTCTTTTGATGCCTTGGGTTCATCCAGGCTGGATATTGACCGTGTTCATTAAGGAGGCATTTCTTGTTTCGTTTTGCATCAGTTTCCATCTTACCTTCTGAAGTATTGGCTTCCATTTCAGATTTTTCCTTAATTTTCTCGACAGTCACAACCGTTGCAACATCTTTCACATCTTCCATCAAAACATCTGCCTTTCCTTTGGCTACGACATTTTTTAATCAAGCAAGTTCTTTAGGCACATTCTTGCATTTTTCTGCACAAATTTTTCGCTTCCATTTGCTTATTAAGCTTTTAGCCATTTTAGTAAGTTATAGCCGAATCCTCAGCGCAGCCACTAAATCCCAGTCACCATGCGGCCCCGTGCTCACCGGATATCTTTAACCAATTTTTAAATCTCTTTGCTTCTGTTATCACCTTCTTATTTATAGTCCTCCCTACTTGCAATTTTTTTAATCCAATAATATATCACTAATTTAATTAAATCCCCCCGCCATAATTAATTGACTTTGTGAAATATTTTCCACTTTTTCTAACAAAAGCTTTAAAAAATAAACTGCATTTACATTGGGTGCATAAACATTAACTATTGTGAAAAGTGCATTATCTATTTTGCAAATCAGAACAATGTATCTTCCGTCTTTATAAATCTCTTTGTATTATTTCTACAGGTGCCCCTGCCTTTTTTTTTTTAATAACACAACCTTATTTAGTGTTTATATTTCTTATCATAAATTAATTTTTTAGAGTGGACCTCCAGTGTGTCTCTTGTATTAGTGCAACACCAATTCTTTCTTTGTGTAACATGTCTTAATTTGTACCTCTTAAAAGGTGTATTTAGACCCTGTGCGTTAATAGAAAAAAACGTAACCATAAATAAAGAAATAAATACATTTTAAGTCATCCCCTGAGCCTTATTTATAGTGATTTCCATCCCTTCACCCCCCCCCCATTTTGTTTGCTACTTGTTGTCTACACATCCATTCACACAATTCATACATACTAAACCATCAACATAAAACCTCTGCCCAATGTGTGGTTCCTCCACCAGGAAGCGAATCGCAACGAGGCAGGTGTAGGTGAAGAATGAAAGGACCAAGAAAAAGGAGACAGAAGCGAAGAGGATTTTAGTAAAGAAAGGATATTCTCCCACTACCCCGTACCCTCCCCCACTCCTCCCCCTTCCTCTCTTTCCCAACCCACCAGTGGGAGAGCCTAACTATAAGAGAGATTGATCCCTTCCCTTTTCTCCATCACTTTCCCCTATTTTAAATTTAAAAAAAATGTTTCTAACTTCTCTCATTTTTTATTATTTTCCTTCCTCTTTTTCTTTCTTTCTTTTTTCCTTTTCTTTTTTCTTCCTTTCCCCCCCAATCTTTGCATTGCTTGTAACTAGAAGGCCTGTCTTCCTTTTATTCAAATTTATTTTCTTTTAACCATTTTAAACCCTGTTCTTTAGATGAAATGATGATTCTTTCTTTATTGTAAGTCAGAAATATTTTTGCTGGGTATATCCATGTAAATTTTAGATTTTCCCTTATTAGAATTTCCTTGATGGGTCTCATTTTTAGCCTTTGTTGACGTGTCATACTGGATAGGTCAGTCATTTATATCTGGATTATATTTTGCCTTCCATACTTTTTCTTTGTATAGATAATTATGGAAACAGTGGTGCTTGGGTTGGTTTTGGGATTCTGTGGCCTCTGACCAAGAGAAGATCTTTCTTCCCAATGTCTCCTGCTATTTTTTTTAAAAAGTTGTAAGCATAGTCTTTTATTTCTTCATTCTTTATTTCTTCTGAACTTCCCCTTTTCCTTAAATTGTTTTTCCATGATCGATCTTCCAACTCGTTTTTTTTTTTTTTTGTAGTTCCTGTACTTTTTTAGTCAGACTCTCATTTTCTTCTAGCTGCTTCTCTATATCGAACCTCACATTCTCACATTTTTCTGTATTTTTTTGGACTTTTTGGTTCAGGTTATTTAGTTCTTCTTTTACTTCTTTAATTGAGGCCAGAATTTCTTTATTTATTTGATCTCTATGTTCTTCTAATAACTTGGTTAGAAATTCTTTTGTGATTTGTGAATTCTCTTTAGGAAGGTTTTCTGAAGAGGTTTCTGTTAGGTCTTTTACTTGGTTTACTATCTCTGCTTCGTCTGTAGACTGTTGTTTCTCTTTATTGTATTTCTCAATTTGCTTAGATAGAGAACTGTGTCTCTTTCTTCACTTGGTGTTTTCCTCTGCACTTGGTGAAGAGTAATATGACAATAATGATTTTTTAGAACCTTGGTCTTTTTCTTCTTTACCTTTTTTTTTTTTTAAACTCTTGGATATGTTCCCTCTTTTTGAGACGATATTCTTTCTTGATCTAATTTTTTTTTAGGTGTGTTCACTTAACGTTTCTTGAATATTTGTAACAACCCACCAAAAATATTACTTTTTTCCTTTTTTAAATGAAATGATCTATATACAGCGCAATCGATAGTTTAAATTTGCCAACTATTTTGCCAACTTTTTTTTTTTCTTATGTCATGTAGTCTTTTCAGTCCTTTGAAAATAAGATTCTTACAGTAAAACAAATAATGCCAAGTTAACCAGAGTTTTTTTTTTTTAGATTTCTCACGTATAAAGTGAGTTAGTTCATTTGGATTTTTTTTCTACCCTTTTTATACACTCCTTTAAGAGGTTTTGATTTCACTGCGACATTAATTCAGTTCGACGTTTTTTTGATATACAATCAAATTATTTAGAACTATGTATATTGTTTTGTTTTTTTGAGGGCGTATTCACCTTCACGTCTTTCTGTCACTTTTGTCAACCTGCCAACAGTAAATTAATTTTTTTTTAATTTTTTTTTTTTATATATATATATATATATATTTTATATGTTGTGATTAAACAGCAAAATCAATAGTTTTAATTCCATCCTCTTTTTCAACTTTTTACAAGAACTTTATACCATATGGCCTTATTAGTCAGAAGAGTAGGAGATTCTCACATTAACCCCTTAAGGACACATGACGTGTGACATGTCATGATTCCCTTTTATTCCAGAAGTGTGGTCCTTAAGGGGTTAAACAAATTATACCATTATTACCAATGTTCTGTTTCTACTCACATTCCACCCACTTCCAGTCTCAGTATGACCACTCTTTCCTTACACCCCATCCACCATTGTACATTATTTTTTCCTTAGAAGATTACTTTTCATGTCCTCTCTTAGTATGAGCTTGCCGTTCTAAAAGGTCAGTACTTATCCTTCTCTAGTCCGCAATTGTTCCACTACAAACCACCTCCGATGAATCTCCTTCCTTGATTAAGTCTCCCCATAGCTTAATATAAACATAAAGGCTATCACAACCAACATACAAATACGGCATCTATATAGTAACAAAGGCAATCTAACAGGTGAAGCTATTGTAAGAGTTACTCACATGTATACAATAATTATGAAACATCAGCTGTAAAGCCATGAAACTTGGAATTGCACAAGTGAACATATTTTCTACAATAAATTTTGAAAGAAATTATGGACGCTTCAAACATAAAAAAAAGTAGGAAATTAGGAATATTTTGCTGAGCTCACATCTCACACCAAAATATGGACAAATAATCCAAATAACAGACATTAACTTTTCAAAATGTAAATTCTATAAGCAGAATCTTTGCTTAGTTTAGGGCAATGTCCGATTTTTTTAAGAACATTGCATAAATTTCATGCAGATGAATATGAAATCAAAGTGACTCTCTATAAACCCATTAATAAACATTAAAATGCAAATCTGTAAAAATGCGTAACTAGATTGGCCATAGTGACAAGCCATCACAAAATTTATTGTCACATTAAGACAACACGTTTCTTCAATTTGGTACTCTTTGTTGAAACATAAAATTAATCCACATCTTCTTGCACAATGCTTCCTATTTAATTTTTTTTTGTAAGGTACCAAGTCACCTCAGTATTTGTTGTGAAGCAAGTGTTATTTTGTAAATTGGTAACTTTGATATATTAACACCCTATCCTGTATTATGGAATTAATGGATTATGAGTGGTTGGAGACATTCCCGCAGGAAAAAGACAGACAGATCATTGACAGCAGAAATTAGTTTATAATAAATATAAAAGAAAATTTAAAGAAAAGCTCAGCTTTTTAAATATCTGTTGAAAGTGTATTTTTTTGCTGTTTTTCACTTGTATTTTATAAACACCAGTAGATCACATGAAGAAAAAAAGCCTGAATACTATTACATTTGAAATATTGCTTTATTAACCCCTTTAATACCAAGCACTTTTTGTTTGATAAAATGCTAACACTTACTTGAAACATAGAATACATAGTTGCTTTTAGGAAAAGTTAGATAAGTTGATAGAATTTAATTCATTTAATTTTTTTATGTATTTGTTCATCATTTAAAGACATATTTGTGAAATGAGATTATTTCCTCTATATTTTAGACCCTGTGTATAACAGCAAAACTATCCCCACCTCCCCCACATATTTACAGAGTTACATAGGCTGAAAAGAGACATGCATAAACATCTGTACATAATCTGATAAAACCACTTCTTCAGGCAGAGAATTCCATAACCCTATTGTTCTTATGGTAAAAAACAACTTTTGCTTAGACTAAGGAACCTTGCCTTAGACTAAATCTCCTTTCTTCCAGTCTAAATGCCTGATCTCGTGTCCAATGTATAGCCGTGTTTGTAAATAGATTACCAGACAATGGTTTGTATTGACCCCAGATATAGTTATATAATGTTATCATATCCCCTCTGAGATGCTGTGTTTCTAAAATAAAGAGGTTTAAATTAGTTAAACTTTCTTCAAAATTGCAAAATTATATTCTCATCCTGAGAATTAATGACCCTTTTTATACATGATGATACCTTACTGGCCTGAGCCACTGCTGATTGACATTGCACAATGTTGCCTAGTTTGTTGTCTATAACAATTCCCAAATCCTTCTCTTGTGTTGTTATTCCTATTTCACTACAAGTTAGGCTATGCTTGTGCATTCTTTACATTTTTCTACATTAAATTTCATCTGTCATTTGAGAAATCAAAACCAATTTCTTTGAGTTTGAACACTAACCTATTGTGTGGAACCGTATCAAACGCCTTAGCACAATCCAAATAGATCATAACTACTGCAACACATACCGTGTTGTGATAAAAAATAGATACCTAAAAATGGTCAAAACAAAAAGCATGCGTATAGCCATTAG